GCGTTTGCCTTGTGATGCCGGGTAAGCTATAATGCTGTTGATGTAATTTTCTGATGGGCTCTGCCGTTGTTCCACTCGTGGATGGCCTTCTGATTGGAATATTTTCCGCGTGGGTTGTTTCAGCAAATACGAAACGGCGGAGCCCAAGTAACAAAACGCCAGAGCCCGGCGGAGCTCAGCAAGTTGTGAGCTACTGATATATTAGCTGGCGTTCGCGCCTTAATAACGGATTACATGTGTTGCATCCCCGTGGATCCCCTATGCATACCCATGCATGCCGTATGGTTTTAGGAGCCCCGCCAACCTTATCGATGAGGTCGAATAGTTTCACGCAAAACGCTCCAGGATACCTCCAGGCTGTGCTGTTACCGCCCGCTGATGGGGAGTCCGATACCTATACACCAACAATGCATGATATCACGTTCACCATCGCCATGCGCATAGTATTAAAAAATGCGAAGCTTGGAAACTCATCCGAAACATCAAGTTAAAGCGCATCAAATATGATCTTTCTTCAGTTCTACGACACAGGTCAGGCCACTTTCACTCACAGCCAGGATCGTCCACACAACGGTAGATTGTGTGAACGACGATGTGGACCTCTCCCTGTGGTGGGTATGGAGGAGGAGGGGGGTGGATGCTAGGTCAGGAAAACCCTTCCGAAAGCTTTCTGACGATATCGCCGGCACGTGATGTATCTGTGCTCAAATTTTCTGTAGTCTTTGGGACCATCATTGCGCATGTTTGCACATAATCAGCAATTGTGTCTATAGCATGTTTGGCCTTCGAGCAGGGACGATTCTTTAAGCTCACTGCACGGCGATTAACATCATGGATATTTTCTCAAATTGCATCAACATCTTATCATTGTGGTCAGAACGGGACAAGACAAACGCCTGTGCAAGTTTTCGCTGCTGTTATCGTCACGTGGTTTCGTAAATAGGAGCACGCAAAGCTGAAAAAGTTATAGCTATGTTCGGGAAGCATTGACATGCAACCTGCCCCCATTATTGATCTAGCAACATGGGATGTATTACCAATCGGGAAATCACGCCGCGACTACTCTATTGATTTCTTCCGCGAAACTCTTATTGTCGTATTTTAGGACCGGGAGTGAGCGTGGTCATCCCCTTCCCCCATCAAACCGCGTCAAGACAAAGGATGAATCGGGGCGAAAGGTGACCTCTCGAACAGCTTGTTAGGTATTTACCGAACAGCATAAAACACCTTGGATGACTAAGATCTCTTCATACGACATCAATTATTGTGAAATTCTACGAATAGTTTAACTAGGATTGCGATCGAGTGAATTGGTGCATGTTTTGCTATGTGTATGTGTAGACTGTCTCCAGTCACAGACCGTAACACTTAACACAAGCACTTGAACTTTGGTGTCACTTTCACCTGGTAACTCGTCATTTTGACGGGTCGGCCACGTCCAGTCAGTCCTCGGTTGAGACCATTCTGCCGGCCACCGGTCCGCATCCCCGCCTGGGCGAGGTCACGTGACCTACACGTCACGGCCCCTGGGGCGCCGGCCGACCGCTCGCTCCGAGACGGGACCGGAGGAGGGCGGTTTCATGGCAGGTACCTGCGCTTCCACATGCTTGCGAGTATTTGGATTAATTTGGGGTGACCTTGGGGTCAGCAAAGACGCCACTGCCAGAAAAAGGGAGAGAGAACACATGCCATTGGTTCCGACAAAACATATTCATGTCGTGAATAGCTTCCCTTAAGAGCGCCATTGCGTGTGAAGCATGCACACACATATATGCAGAGGATACATGCCACCGAAGTGTGTTTTCTTGATGATACCGACTCGAGGCCAGATGAGGTCATGGCAGGTCACGGGTACCGCTACGTGCCTCGGTGGATATACAATGCGATGCCTTCTTGCAAGTCACATTTTCGCAGGGATCTCAAAACATGACCCAACATTTTGTTTATGGGACAGCCTGTGTCAACTTCATCAAGCTTGTCCCTGACCTGCGATTTCGATGACATTTGGTGCAGGTAGTGTCCACCTCAAAATATGGATGCATGACAGGTTGCAAGACGAGAAAGACCGTTGCCGCAACACGAGAAAGCAACGAGAGCAACACGAGCAAGACCGTTGCAGAATTTAGTCGCACTGCGCATATCTCTGCAGCTCAATAGCGCAGTGGAGTAGCAAAATCTGTAGCTGACAGTTAGCTCGGCTGTCGTTTCTCGCTGAGGCACACACCTGTCCCACACACCTGCTTCTCAACGGGTGTATTACAACGGTTGCCTTGGCCGCGGAGGGCGAGACGGTCGAGGCACACACCTGGCCGCTTGTCGCCGCGCTTGATTCAGCCACGCGTCGGTCATTGCAGCCAGTCTGTCCGCCGGCGTCCTCCTGCTTTTTGTGCAGCGTCGGTAGGCTGGCGCCAGCTGACCAGAAATGTCATTGACGTTCAGATTGGACGGCTGGCTGACGTTCTACGACTCAGTTAGGTCTCGTTCCATTTCGCGCGGGATGGTGATATATATCGACATTGTTGGCTGCCGTGGCGGAACGAACGGAACGGCAGCGTCTCCTGTGATGGAACGGCAACATTGCCTAACGCCGGGCGACGTTTTTCATGCTTCGTGGCTTTATATTGGTAACAATTCCCTTTTCACGTTTTTTGCGATTGGGACATTGACTGAGCCGCTCCAGTCGGTCTGCGAATAGCTGTTGATAAACGTACCCCTCGTAAACAAAATTATTTTTTTTATTTAGCATTGCTATTTATTGCCGATTGCAACGGATAATGTAATGCTGCAAGCTGTCATTGAAGCTCCCTCTGGCAATCAACCAAACAGTGGGGCTATGTTGACGGCGAAAAGGCAAACCTAGCAAATTCTTCCCCGTTGGGAGCGGCCATTGGCCGGACGTTGACTGGGATGTCAAGCCACCCGCCACATGCAAGAGGGGTGTGCTTCTGCTCCGTCCAGGTCATCAAGATCTTGATTGGACTGCGTCTCACGTCAGAACGATTCTATATGTTTAATTGGTAAAGGTTTCATGTAATCACCGTCTTCCAAATGCAAACTCTTCGGAGAAAATGAATCCAATGCGTGACCCCGTTTCACAACTTTTGCTTGTCCTGTTGATAACGGTCGTGATGAAACTGCGCGACGACATCTGTTGACTCGTTTTGTCACCTTTATTTCTACTAATGCGAACACGATATCAATATGTTTTCTACACAACTGCCTCAGTTCTGCTGAAGAAAGATATTTGACGCATCATATCTTAAAACCATAGACTCGAAAATGCCTCCATCGCTGGTCTCGAGTTCGTCGATGTTCTCGAGTTCGTCGATATTCTCGAGTTCGTCGATGTTCTCGAGTTTGTCGATGTTCTCGAGTTCGTCCATATTCTCGAGTTCGTCGATGTTCTCGAGTTCGTCGATGTTCTCGAGTTCGTCCATATTCTCGAGTTCGTCGATGTTCTCGAGTTCGGTGATGTTCTCGAGTTCATCGATGTTCTCGAGTTCGTCGATGTTCTCGAGTTCGTCGATGTTCTCGAGTTTGTCGATGTTGTCGAGCTCGTCGATATTCTCGAGTTCGTCGATGTTCTCGAGTTAGTCGATGTCGCAGGCAGGGTCATGCGGAAATATGTCGCCAAACCCGGCCGTTCCCTAGTCGTGCCTCAAAGGTCAGTTACAGAGCCAAAGTCCCGCGCGTTCTGGTGAGATCTGCCGCTGGATGACGTTAGTTCATGTCGTTGGGAAAGCTTAGCTTGTGTCGCTGTGCTGCGATTCTTGAGAGGTCAAACCGTTGTATGCGATGATATATGATGTTGAACATGTTCCGGTTATTGAAGATGGGCCAGGATGTCAAATACCCATGCCATCTTCAATTTACGTCAGTTGTTAAGCGCATTTGCGGGGAGCATTATGCACATAGATAACACGGTAGAAATGGCCTTATTTTTCGGGGAAAATCGGGAGAATGAAGATATAGATACGTTGACATTTCAGCAGCATGCCTTTGTTGAAACGAGTAACAGAAGTTAATTCAAAATTGTTTACGGTCTTATTGTTGTCAACTTCGTCAAGCGTGTCATGAACTGCCGTAGATGAAGTCGAGATGAAGGATTACAGAGTGAACCACACACTCCCCTATTTCTGAGATAGTGTATCTGAGTGTATTGTGTAGTGTAGAGTGTAGTATTGTGTTGTGTGTAGTGTGTAAAGTATTGTGAGTGTAGAGTGTATTCTGAGAGAGAGCATCTATTATGAGATACTGCAGAGTGAACCACACACTCATCAATGAGAGACTGCGGACTGAACCACCCACTCATCAATGCAGAGTAGACCACACACATATCAGTGCGAGACTGCAGAGTGAACGAAACACTCATCTATGACATGCTGCAGAGTGAACCACTCACTCCTCTTGGAGCTACTGCGGAGTGAACCACACACTCATCTATGAGATGCTGCAGAGTGAACCACTCATTCCTCTGTGAAATACTGCAGAGTGAACCGCACACTCATTTATCAGAGAATGCAGAGTTAACCACACTCTCTATGGAAGGCTGCAGAGGAAACAACACACTTTTCTACGATGGACTGCAGGGATAAACACACACTCCTCTATGAGAGACTGCAGAGAGATCCACACACACCTCTGCTAGAGACTGAAGAGAGGACGACGCACTCCCACTCACGCGGAAAGAACAACGCACTCTTCCATGAGCGACTTTATAGAGATCCACATACTCCTTTATGATAGTCTGCAGAGAGATCCGCGCATTCCTTTATGGCAGCAGAGAGATCCACGCACTCCTCAGTGAGGGACGCGGTACGTAGGCTGGCGACGCGCTCTTTGCATGCCCTGCCGAGGTCTGTGTAACGCGCTGATTGCGATGCTGCTGAGAGCTCGGCAGATCTGGCGCTGTGTTACGCGTGCACGTCCCCATTGACGCCGCCGGCAGGTCTGTCGCTGTGTTGGCATCACAGGTTACCGTCTGGTGTCTCGGCCGGCAGGTCTGTCGCTGTGTTACGTCTCAGCCGTGGTGATCGTGGCCTATTACTTCGAGCGACGCCGCTCGCTGGCCACGGGCATCAGCGTCTGCGGCACCGGCGTCGGCACCTTCCTGTTCCCGCCGCTGGTGGAGCTGCTGATCCAGGTGGGCTGTCGGGGTTGGCCGGCCGGCACGCCTGGGACGCCCGGGCCATGTAGTCCCAAGCGCTTGACTCCGGGTGTCGTGTGTTTGCGAGGCACGTCAGAACGGGACGCGCTCTACCAATCAGCGTGGTGTGCGAACTCAGCCCGAGAGCTCGTCCAATCGGCTCACATCAGACTGGGGGCTCTTCCAATCAATTCAAATCGGGCAGTGAAGTGTTTTGTTCATGTTCATGTTCATCATGTTTTTTTTTTCTGACAGGAGCTCATTTATAAAATTATATGGATCGACGTTTTACTGCAATTTTTTTTAGAGATATACATGTCTTTTATCCTATCACAACTCTTCAAAAGTGTTTTGAAAAAGTCGAGTTATTCACAGACCAAATTTTAGCAAAGTTGATCACTGCTCAATATTAATGTTTTGATTAACATGTCATTATTTTTAGATAGACAATTACAGATCTGTGGTAAGGCAGAACTGCGATTTTGTCGTGACGCTGACAAAACAAATGTTTTGCCTTTGAAATGTTTTTGGCCTTTTTTACCAATGGGCCACCTCGATTAAACCATTTACATAAATCAAAAACTCTTGATTTTGATTTTGGTGACTAAAGCCTGAGCGTGACCGGTCGCCCTGTGCCGCATCATCCCGGTATACCGAACGGTTCAACAACGTACGCCTATGCTGCCACTGTCAGTGCTGTTCTTTGCTTGCGGCTTCCCTATCACATCCCTGATCGCACACAATTTCACGTCAACACGCCAAATTGCGTCAATACGTTTCACGTCAATATTGACAATACGAAAACAACAGTTTACTTGGATGTGTTGTTTTGAACGTAATGCTTGTAAAGTCAACAAGCCCATCAGGTGCACGACACACATGCCAAGCATAGCAGCAGGGGAGTGGACGACTACAATATCAGTATCGGTAGCAGTGTGCCTCGCCCGCCGTTTCCTTTGTCATCCATGCTTTGTACTAAATAAACGGGCTAGATAAGCGGCCAGCCGTAGCTCTTAGTTCGTTTTATCAATGCTTAAACGACAATTTGCTTCCTACCCTATACTAATAAATGTATTTACACATTTTTAAGCATCTTTGATTCGACACCGAGGAGCTGTGGGGTTTAGCAAACTTCCTGTTAATCAGAGAACAGATAAAACAAGCAACTTTTTGTTCCAAAACGATATGACAGCAGCGCATGCTATTTTGAAGTGTACCGATGTAGGATATCAATTCTCCTATCCGTGCGGAGGTTGTGCATAGGCTTCGTGGTGTAAACTACACTGGCATCACAGCAATTTTTCTTTCCAGGCGACTTTCTTTGCATCTTCGAGACAGTGCTCCAAAACACATGCCACAGTGTCATCAACAACATCGACACGCACACAACTTACCGAAAACACAAAAATCATCAAAATACAACGTAAAAAGCACGCCTGATGCCATAAGAAGCCCCATTTGCTCATGGAAACATCACACTAGAACTGTCGACGGATAGGAGTGGGCGTTTGCTCAGTTGTGAGGCACGTTAGATGTATGTGAAGTATGTGGATGTTTTCCGCAGGGTGTTGTCCGTGCATTGAAACATGTTCAGCTGGACATGCTTGACTGAGGTGTACCGAATTTCACGAGCTACATTGCGTATTCATTCAAATCATTGGATATGTATGAAACGTTCTTTTGAGTACAACGTATCATTTCTGTCTGGTGATGGTTCAAAGATGAACCGAAACGAAGCGTTTGTGAGGATTATGCGACCAATGCGGCCTGTTATACGAGTGTAGCTGAATCGTTGGACCTCAGCCGGATATAAACAAGTGTATTAGAAACACTGAACGGCTTGACAGATAGCTTGCTAAAGCCCAGAGATTCTTGATGCTCCATGAAACATGCTTAAAGGAAATCTATTGTCTAAATGCACGAACGCGCATACACACACGTATGCATGCATGCATGCATGCATGCATGCACGCACGCACGCACGCACGCACGCACGCACGCACGCACGCACGCACACACGCGTGCACGCGTGCACGCACGCACACACGCACGCACGCACACACGCACGTATATTTCGTGTATATGGGTACGTGTCTCGTCTCTGTGACTGTGGGAGTGGGGCGTGCGTGCGTGCATGCGGGCATGTGTGGGTGCTGTGGACACATCCGTATAATTATCGTTGTTAGACACGTTTTTCAACACTTTGGTCAGCGTTAGACGAGTATTAGTGAACACGGACCAGTTGTCGGTGCGAGGTGGCGAGGGTGGCGAGGTGCGCTGCTGGTCTTTTCCTGTTGTCCGTCTGCCATTGCAGGCATACGAATGGCGGGGCGCGCTGCTGGTCTTTTCCTGTTAGTCATCTGTCATTGCAGGAGTACGGGTGGCGGGCCGCGCTGCTGGTCTTTTCCTGTTAGTCATCTGTCATTGCAGGAGTACGGCTGGCGGGGCGCGCTGCTGGTCTTTTCTTGCTGTCCATCTGTCATTGCAGGAGTACGGGTCGCGGGGGCACGCTGCTGGTCTTTTCCTGCTGTCCGTCTGTCATTGCAGGAATACGGGTGGCGGGGCGCGCTGCTGGTCCTGTCCGGCATATTTCTCAACATCGCCGTTTGTGGCATGCTGATGCGTGACCTCGACTGGACAAAACACAAAAACAGGTGAGACGCTGTCACCCGTGGTGGCCATTCGGAGTCGTTTCATGCTGTTCGTGCGTGTTAAAACGTGGGAGCAAACGAAAGCCCAAGTGCGCTCACCGTGCTCTTCATAGATGGCGTTGCAGGATTTCCATATAATTTCATGAATAACGTACAGTGGAATGCGTGCTTGTCGCCACCGTCCTGTGAATCCGTTCCAGCACGTATATCGGTCTCATGGCCATGTCTTTTTGCCGCTTTCTTAATTTGTTGTGCCTGTCTGACCGAGCGAGCGCATGTTTATGTGCTCTTTTGAGTCAATACCCTTTCTTCCGACATGTCGTTTTTTGCGACCCTCGAAGTGCTGTTTGCTGGCGCCCGCTCGGTGTTTGTCATTTCACTGTACAGTGTTGACCTAATATGAAACTGCTCGACGTCTGTGTACACATGTTTGCCTCCATCACCGGCCACGCCAAGGTCGATCTGTGGCGCCGTTTGTACGCGATTGTGAGCGCTATTAACGGCCATTTCAGCATTTCCGGCTAAATTGACCGTTGGCGTCACTGGTCTGCACCGTGTCTCGTTGGTCTTCGTATTGACGCTCCGGCCCGGCCGAGGTGGCTCCGCTGCCGTGTCAGATCCGTTGGCTCAGCCGCTTGTCTGCTCGCTCGGCATGGGCGGCGTGCGCGAATGGATAGCTATGTCCGAACCCAAACACACGAGTGGTTAAGAAAACGTTGCCAATCATGCTGTTGGGATGCGTAGCGTCCTTCTTCGGTCGCGAATGGATAGCTATGTCTGAACTCAAGCACACGAGTGGTTAAGAAAATGTTGCCAGTCATGCCCTCGTAATGCTTAACGTCCTTCTTGGGTTTCAGTCTAATTGCATGTGACGGACGACGTGTTGCATGCATCTTCAGGGCGGGCGTTTGTGGCCGGGAAAGAGTCACACAAAAGTCTTAGAACCACACTCGAAGAAAACGGATTCATACTTTTCCAAAACGCTCCATAGTATTCTTTCTTGGCACCTCCAGACGTATCACGTGCTATCACTGCTGCGCGACCATCCTCAGCCGTTGTCTTACGCACCCGCCGCGGCCGGATGGAAAATGCAGCGTGGGGCAGGGTCTCTGGTGCCGGCCGGGTGGGCGAGGGGGAGGAGGACTTTTCCCGGCTGAGTGGGGGAGGGCTTTAGTCTCGGCCGGGTGGAGGTGGAACTCTGGTGCCGGCTGGGTGAGGAAGGCTCTGGTCTCGGCCGGGTGGAGGTGGGGCTGTGGTCACGGCTAGTTGGAGGTGGGGCTCTGGTCCCGGCCGGGTGGAGTTGGGGCTATGGTCCCGGCTTGTTGGAGGTGGTGTTCTGGTCCCGGCCGGGTGGAGTTGGGGCTATGGTACCAGCCGCCGCCATGAACGGCCACTCTGCGTACAGGGAGCGCTCCAGCCAGTGTACGCTCTCGGCCGACGGCGACTCAGACAGCTTGCGGTCGGAGGCGGAGTCGCTGCCGGACATCGAGCAGCTGCGCACCGCCCTCCACTCAGGTCAGTGGGCGGACGCCGGCCGGACAGCTGCCGGAGGGGATAGCGACCCGAGCTGGGTGGGCAGCAATATCGCCCTCCACTCGGGTCAGTGGGCGGACGCCGGCCGGCCAGCTGCCGGTGGGGGATACTGACCCCCCAACTGGGTGGGCAGCGATACCGCCCTCCACTCGGGTCAGTGGGCGGACGCCGGCCTGCCAGCTGCCGGTGGGGGATACTGACCCCCCAGCTGGGTGGGCAGCGATACCGCCCTCCACTCGGGTCAGTGGGCGGCGCCGGCCTGCCAGCTGCCGGTGGGGAATACTGACCCCAGCTGGGTGGGCAGCGATACCGCCTCCACGACCGCCTAAGTATGCTGTGGATCTTTATGTCCATATTTGATTCATACGAACCTAATTCAGTACAATATGATCGTTGACCTTGTCGTCGTTGCCCACTGTTACCGTTTGTTTGTTGATTCCGGTTAGATGTGTGTTCCTGTCGTCGCTGGCCTATTCAGTCATGTGTCCAGGACTAGCTAGCCCCGTACTACCCCTGAAGGCTTGCATAACATGCAGGTACCCGGTGTGTGTGTCTGTGTGTAACCGCTCATCTCTGGGGTGTTTTTGACGTTTTTTAAAAAGCAAAATGTCCTTGATTTAACACGAGGTAACCGGGTGTGTTTATCTGCCGTACTCTTGCGTGGTGGTGCAACTCTCCTCTGTGGTGGTGCCGTACTCCTGTGTGGTGGTGCCGTGCTCCTTTGTGGTGGTGCAGTACTCGTGTGGGGTGGTGTAGTACTCCCGCGTGGTGGTGCTTTACTCCCGTGTGGTGGTGCAGTACTCCTGTGTAGCGGTGCATTACTCCTGTGTGGTGGTGCCGTACTCCCGTGTGGTGGTGCCGCACTCTTCTGTGATGGTGCAGTTCTCCTGTGTGGTGGTACAGTACTCCTGTGTGGTGGTGCCGCACTCCTCAGTGCTGGTGCCGTACTCCCGCGTGGTGGTGCCGTCCTTATGTGCCGTGGTGCCGCACTTCTGTATGGTGGTGCGGTACTCCCGTGTGGCGGTGCCGCACTCCCGTGTGGTAGTGCAGTGCCCCCGTGTGGCGGTGCCGCACTCCTGTGTGGTGGTGCATTACTCAGACATATGGAGACACCTCTCCGGACAGCAGTGTTGTGGCGTTCTGCCCACGGCACCTGCGACAGCAGATCACAATGCACGCTCGGGTCAGTCCGGCCATTAAGAACGGTGCACGATGCGTTTGGGTAAACGTCAAGCGCGTGCAATGCTGATAATTGCACCGCCCAGCTGGAAAGTTGTTACGAATATGTGCTGGATAGCTTAATATATGCCCATTTCTTCTCCCGAATGGGTAGCTGGACAGCTGACTACGACAAACATGTGCTGGATAACTGAACAGGTGACTATCACACGTCGATACTGGTTAGCTGGACAGCTGACTATTACAAGCCTGTGCTGGATAATTGGAAAGCTATTACACGTCTATACTGGTTAGCTAGACAGCTGACTATTACAAGGATGTGCTGGATAATTGGACAACTGGCTATGACAAGACTGGACTGGATAACTGGTCACCCGACTATTACAAGTATATGCTGGATAACTGAACAGCCGGCAATAACGCGTCGACACTGGTTAGCTGGACAGCTGACTATTACACGTCAATACTGGTTAGCTGGACATCTGACTATTACAAGCACGTGCTGGAAAATTGAACGGCTGACTATTACAAGACTGGACTGGATGACTGGACAGCTGACTATTATTAGCATGTGCTGGGTAGCTGGACAGCTACCTATTACACGTCGATACTGGATAGCTGGACAGCTGACTATTACAAGTGTGTTAAATAGCTGGACAGTTGACTATTACAAGGGTATTGGATAGCCGGGCAGCTGACTATTACAAGTGTGTTGGATAGCTGGGCAGCTGACTATTACAAGTTTGTTGGATGGCTGGACAGCTGACTATTACAAGTATGTTGGGTAGCTGAGCAGCTGATTATTACAAGTGTGTTGGATAGCTGGACAGCTGATTATTACAAGTGTGTTGGATAGCTGGGCAGCTCACTATTACAAGTTTGTTGGATGGCTGGACAGCTGACTATTACAAGTGTGTTGGGTAGCTGGGCAGCTGACCATTACAAGTTTGTCGGATAGCTGGGCAGCTGACTATTACAAGTATGTTGGATAGCTGGACAGCTGACTATTACAAGTGTGTTGGGTAGCTGGACAGCTGACTATTACAAGTGTGTTGGATAGCTGGACAGCTGACTATTACAAGTTCGTTGGATGGCTGGACAGCTGACTATTACAAGTGTGTTGGGTAGCTGAGCAGCTGATTATTACAAGTGTGTTGGATAGCTGGACAGCTGATTATTACAAGTGTGTTGGATAGCTGGGCAGCTGACTATTACAAGTTTATTGGATGGCTGGACAGCTGACTATTACAAGTGTGTTGGGTAGGTGGGCAGCTGACCATTACAAGTTTGTTAGATAGCTGGACAGCTGACTATTACAAGTGTGCTGGATAGCTGGGCAGCTGACTGTTTCAAGTGTGTTGGGTAGCTGGACAGCTGACTATTACAAGTGTGTTGGATAGCTGGACAGCTGACTATTACAAGTGTGTTGGATAGCTGGACAGCTGACTATTACAAGTGTGTTGGATAGCTGGGCAGCTGATTATTACACGTGTGTTGGATAGCTTTACAGCTGATTATTGCAAGTGTGTTGGATAGCTGGGCAGCTGATTATTACACGCGTGTTGGATAGCTTTACAGCTGATTATTGCAAGCATGCGGCGGTACCGTGTCAGCGCGTTGCCGCGTGCCGTTCCATGGCCGCCGCACCGTCGGGCGGTGCTGATACCAGGCGAAGAGGTCGCTCCACGTAACTCAGCTCAGCTCGCCTGGGATATCTGCACGTGCACTCACATGCACGCGCACAGCAGCTTTTCATGCTGTGGTCATTACGGTGGTCATTACGCTTGCCTGTTTCTATTGACTGGATGCAGCATGTCTCGCCCTTGGACGTATACCCAACAAACGGCGGACGAAGCCCGCTCAGCTTCATCAGAAACTTTTTCCTTAAACTTTTGCACGTGGAAAGGTTCTGACGTGACGTCGGTGCCTGGTGACAGTGTAGTTCGCTTAATCCGCTTTGCTATTGACAATCAGTCGGCCGTTTTGGTGTGCGATGCGTCTTGTGACAGTCATTATCGTGACCGGTGGCGTCCAGAGTCGATAACACAACCAACACGGTTGCTAGTTGACACTCGTCGTTGACTGTGTGAAATAGACGCCCCCCCCCCCCCGCCGCTATAGCACGGCATCGCAGGGCTGTACACAGCGCAATGGTCGGCCGTGTTTGTGCCGGCGTGCGTCACGTCAAACAGTGATGTGTTCGTTAGTCGCGCTCAGCGGCGGGTTAGCTCTTTGAGGCGTCGAACTGCGGGGTATTTCTAACTGTGTAGCCCGCGAATCATGCGGTCCTCCTGTTTGGTCGGTGGCACACGATCAACGACCGCGCTTTTGTCATGGGTTCGTTTTTGGTCGCGTCAATATGACATTGTGCGTTTGTAGATTAGTGGTATTGAAATACACCGGCTTGTGCGTATGGAGGGGCGCCGGATGTATGCTGCCGGCTGAGCTTCAATGGGAGTCCGCTGTGGCGGCAGAAATGGCGAAAATGCGGGTGATTTCTCGGCTAGCCTTACTCTGGCCTGCAACAAGTTGATGTGTCCTGCTTTCGGTGTATAACAGTAATGCTCCGTTCTCTAACACAGGCTTATTACTTCATAATTAAATCAGACAATTACTTGCAATGACGTCAACCCAAGAAGCTCGGCACACAGCCCACCACAGCCACACAGCTAACCACAGCGCACCACACAGACTAGAACTCGCATAAAAAGCCGTCGCCCCACTCGCAGACTCCTCAGCGGTGACATGACCAAACACAGGTTCCTCTAACTTCCGCTAGGCGGCTGAACAACTACGGAAACAAACTTCCAAAACACTTGAACACTGCGATAACGAAACGTATTGGTGCACATTCCACACTGGGATGTAGCAAAGGTCAATCCAAGCCAAGATGTTTATACTTCATGCTGGACAATGGCCCGGGAATTTGGCCCAAACTGATGGGATTTCAGTGAAAATTGACACCCTCTGTGATGATTTTGGCTTTCAGCCTGTCGCTTTCTTTTTGTGAGCATTTGTGGCGCTATTTTGCCTCATCAGATGACGTGGAGGCCGTGCTAGACAGTATGACATCATTCGATATATCCTGAAGCAACCTACGTGCCATGCCTGGCCCTTCCCATCACGCTACTGCTCTTCAACAGGCGGTGCCAGCGCGCTGCTGGGTTGTCTCCTGATGTAGCCCCCACCTGTGGCGAGGTGACTTGCCTGACGTCACTCTGACGCGTCACCAGGTGACGTCAGTGACCACTGGGCTGTGTCGTGGTGTAGTCCCCACCTATGGGCAGGTGATTTAACTGACGTCACTAGGTGACGTCAGTGACTACTGGGCTGTCTCCTGGCATAGCTCCCACCTATGGCCAGGTGACTTGCCTGACGTCACTATGACGTGTCACCAATTGACATCAGTGGCCGCTGGGCTGTGTCCTGGCGTTGCCCCTACCTATGGCCAGGTGACTTGCCTGACGTCATCATGCGCGTCACCAGGTGACGTCAGCGCGCTGCTGGGCCGGCCGGTCAGCAGTGAGCAGCTGGAGCGGCTGCACAGCTCGGCTTTGCAGCTGCCCACCTGGCTGGCGGACGCCGACGCGCCGCCAGAGGTGGGTGTGCTGACGCTGCTGGGCGGCGCAACTTGTTTGTGTGTTTTGTGTGCTGGCCGTAGGTCTACCTGCCATAGCTGTTTCCGCTTCGGCTGTTGTTTTGTTCGCAATCGTGTGTCGTCATTTCGAGCCATTCAAAGTTCATCAGCTTTAACGCTAAGAATACTTTGTCGTTTGCAGGACGTGTGGCGTGTTATAGGCCCTCTCAGTCATAATAATTCGCGTGATGAATACACGTAGCACGCTAGCACAAGTGGAACCTGTCGCACGTTGTCCCGCTTTGTTCGATCGACGTCTTCACTTTGCGATTATTTACGGTGCACTCCATGCAGCTTCCATACAGTCGTCGGTGATGCGATCTCTGAGATCCGGTTTCGCCGCCAGTGGCGTGGAGGAAATCGAAACACAGCCGGTAGTGCGTCTTCAGGCTGTGCTTGAGACTGTCTGTCACTGGTGGCCCGAGACTGTAGCCGACGGCTCGACGGGCCCTTCTGACCGTCTCACCGCCTCTGCCCCCTGGAGCAGGTGTTGAAGACGATCGAGACGAACCGGCGGCTACATGAGCTGGTCTCCCGACTGTACCCGCACCTGCTGCTACCGGCCGGGGAGGAGGGCACTCTGCCAGAGAACGGGACCGGCCCGGGCGCGACGGTGGCGCCGCCTGCGCGGCCCGACGCGCCCGACCGGCCCGCGGAGCGGGCGGCGCCGGCCGCGGCCACCAGCCGCCCTCCGAACGGGGAGGCGACGGCTCACCAGGGCCGCTGGCCCTGGCGCCGACTCGGAAGAGCCGCCCAGACAGCGCCGCTGGCCGCGCGACGGAGGGGGCGCCACCAGCTCCTGCCGCGCGCTGCCGGCGCCCTCCGTCGGCGCAGCCGGTGGCGCCGCCCAGCGTCCGGCCGTCGCCGGAGGGCTGTGGCCGGTGCCGGGACGGCCGGCGCCGGCCGGCAGAGGATCAGCCGGAGCCGGCGCTCTGCCGCTGCCTGCCGACTCTGGGACACGTCGGCCGGTCGGCGTCGACGGCCGCCGGCGACACCCGGCTCTCGTGTGACGCCTTGCCGCGGACGGCTGAGCCAGAGGTGAGGACGGTCGATGACGGGAGCCCAGGGACGGCACCAGCGAGCGGAATAGCAAGGTGCTCTGTGGGCTGCACAGGTGACTGAGGGAAGGAGCCCGTAGAATGGCTGCCTTGCATGATATTTAGTAGGAAATACTCATGGCGGGGGAGGGGGGGGGGGGGGGGAGGACTCGCCCACCTTTCCGTTGGAGAGTACACAAGAATGGCTCGTTCTCAAACGAGAACAAGCCGGTTTCTTGAGACTGGGATGGTGACTTGCCAAGCATCAGTCCGCAATCGCCCGAGCTCGGTGCGGCACGTGGGGTGTATTCTGCGCGGTGCGTGCGTGGGTCGAGCTGCCACGCCGCCAATCTGTGTTCGATGTCACTGTGGCCAGGCGCTGGCCCCAACCGTGCCTCGTCCCCCTCCCATCGGGCCGTGTCCCAGCTCACAGAACCCCTCAACCGTGCCTCGCCCCCCTCCCACTGGGCCGTGTCCCAGCTCATAGAACTCCCCAGCTTCCTCTGGCTGCCGACGCTGGGCTCGGACCCCGCAGTGAGGCGTGTCGAAGTGTGGGCGGCCCCGGTAGCCCCAGCGGTGTGGACGGGAGCGCGTGTCGGCGCCACCTTCTGCGCGCTGTTGGATCCGCGCTGAGCGGGCCGACCGGCGGTCCTCGGTGACACTTCTGCGCCGGGGATGATTAAAGGCTGGGAAACGGTCGTCGTTACTCACCCACTGTCGGGAACCAATAACTCACTGTGAGGTAACGCCAGAACCATGGCACGTAAATTAGAGCTATGGCTTAAGCTCTGTAGTTGGCTTGAACATCAGATGTGCATTGGCATGACGTACTGCATCTGCCGTTGATCTATGCATCTGGCTTATCAGATGCCGCTACTGCGCAGACCGTTGAAAGCGGTAGCTATGATTTCACGCACTGGAAGTTCTGTGTGTGCTGGGAACCAGTGCAACAACGCCAGCCGAACAACAGCAGTACCTGATCTGCCGCCTCTTCCCAGCGTTCTCTTCCACCGTGGATGCTCGGCACCCCCCTCCCCCCCTCACACCCTTCTCTCACTGTTCGAACTTGTGCCATATGGACATTTTAGGGCAGTAAGGAACGCAAGCCCCAATGGCGCGAGCGATTCCGAGGCTTGTTTTGCCGGACGTTGTCGGGTGGAAGTCTACCAGCTCGCATCAAGTGTGGATATGTGATCTGAATCCAGCATTTTGACACCATAAATGGCTGTCAAATGGAGCTCTTGTCATTTGCATGGTGCGCTGTCACTGATTCGAGCCAATAGACTTGTCACCTGCCACGCCAGAACTTTCTCTTCACTTAAAGCATATGGTGTTCCCTTTCTGGGAAGTGGCAGCAACGAGTGGAAGGTCATTAGGTTTCTGAACTTGCCCTTTAGCAACAACCACGGACACGGGGTTTGGACAACGCCGCGATTTGCATGCGCTTCGCACCTTCGGGGCGCCAGGAAGCTCCCAAAACGTCAAGGTATGACCGTTTAGTGACATTACACCGCTACGGTCCTCCTCCTTCGAGTATCTTGTGATGTCTGGTCGCTGGCTTGGTCTCCCGCCCCTCTCTCCTCATTTGGCTGCCTGCGAACGGTGTCTTCACCCGAGGTCAGCCAGCTCCACATGCGCCCTTCTCCTGTCTGTGTGTGGCTGTGACCTGACATCGGGTCACCAATGGCCAGGCGTGCTGCCCGCCCCTGCTGTCCTTGAGGCCCGGCCATTGCCCCCCCCCCCCCTTGCCCCCCGTGGCGCATCGCCGCTCCCGCCGACGCGTGTGACCTGCGGCCAGGTGCGGACCACTCCCCTCGCCGGCGCTCGCCGCTCGTGTGACCGTGAGAGCTGACACGGTGTGACCTGCGGCCAGGTGTGAAACACTCCCCTCGCCGGCGCTCGCCGCTCGTGTGACCGTGAGAGCTGACACGGTGTGACCTGTGGCCAGGTGTCAAACACTCCCCTCGCCGGCACTTGCCGCTCGTGTGACTGTGACAGCTGACACGGCGTGACCTGCGGCCAGGTGTGAAACACTCCCCTCGCCGGCACTTGCCGCTCGTGTGACTGTGACAGCTGACACGGTGTGACCTGTGGCCAGGTGTCAAACACTCCCCTCGCCGGCGCTCGCCGCTCGTGTGACCGTGAGAGCTGACACGGTGTGACCTGTTGCCAGGTGCGGACCACCCGCAGCGTGCCGCACCAGCCGCACAGGGCGGCGCCGCGTCCGCTCTTCACGTGCGAGCCCGAGCCCCCGGCCGCCTGCCTGCGGAACATGCGGCTCAGACGGTGAGAGTGCATCACTGCGTGGCACAGCTGCCGCGGCGCGGGGCCGGCCAGGGGTGTGCTGACGTGGGTCACTGCTGTTGCGGCGCTAGGCCGCCGCTCAGGGAGTGTGCTGACGTGGGTCACTGCTGCTGCTGCGCGGGGGTCAGTCAGGGGCGTGTTAACGTGGGTCACTGCTTGCTGCGGCGCGGGGCCGGCCAGGGGTGGGCTAACGTGGGTTACTGCTGCTGCGGCGCGGGGCCACCACTTAGGGGGTGTGCCAGTGCGCGTCACAACTGCGGCGAGGGGGGCCTCTGGAGCTACTGGGCCAGGCAGCGGCGGCTCCGGTCTGACAGTACATCGGCGCGTACCACTGCATCGGCCGGCAGTGACGCAGCCCGTCCAACCTGTCTGTTGGAGGGGCGTCAATAAGGCCCAGGTCACGCATTTGTGCGGGCGTCTCTTGATCTCGAGACCGTCGGACCGTCCAGTACCGTCTGTCGTAAAGCGAGCTATCCCCCGCCGGAACGTCGCTGCAGTTATGAGCTGTCCATCGGTTTTCCCATAATATCTGTAGTAAATGACACCATAGGTCATTGTTCCGTTGCGTCATTAGCTTAGTTTTGTTTGTTGAATGCCTGTCCAATAGGTCACTGCCCACAAATGAACTGGCCAGGCGCTCCCACCCCCGATCCACAGCATCACACCGGAAGCAAACGATCACTCAGGCCCGTGGTCGGCGGCCCGTAATTGGTATTGTGGGGGACATGGATGACCGGGCTCAGTCGTGAAGGAGCTGGGCCAGCCCAGCTCAGAGTTTAGCTTCCGAAACCTCTGCGCTCCATCAGGCGCGCGGAGGGTGTTAAATGGATGTCACGCATTTGAAAATATTGAAGCAGGGATCAGATTTGATGCAATAGACTCACTTATGACCATTGGTGCGCGTTTAAGTAGAAAGACTGCTCTCGACGACAGCGTTTCTGTGTTTTTTAAGTGTGGTCTTCAACGCGTCATTATTTGATTCCGTCATTGGATGCTTCTATGTTAAGGTACTGCCGAACTACCCGTGCGTAAGTGCCACTTGTAGTGCTCCGAACTGATCGAAAGATGGCAGCACGGTACCGGAAGTGTTTGCGGAGTCAAATGTTATTTGCTCGTGTCAGGCCCTTTCTCGTGGTGTTCTTGCGTATTTTTCAGTGAGTTTAATGTGCTTGCCTGTGCTCACATACTTGGCTATGACGTCATTCGTAAGTTATTCGATTACATGTCTTCTTTTCGTAATAACTGGTTAGTGGAAGAATCACGTCCAACTTCTTATCATATGTAGCACAAAACGTGATTCGTTATTGAAGCTTGCACAGCCTGCTCAACATTGCTTGAGAGCCATGTGACATTCATTATGTATGGAAACTGCTTTCACAGACGCCAGATCTAAATTGTTGGACGATGATATTATTATTCCTGCCCTTGAACGCCCCCTGGCCCTTGGGGTGACAGGATTTGAATAGCGTTGTCATGGCGTCATGCGCGCCGGAATGTCTTTGGAATAATTTGCACGGTATAGCCTGTACATCTTCGCGGGTGTGTAGCTCATAAACTGGCTTGTATTAGAACGTAAGAAGGACAGGGCTGTAAACTGCACCGAATGATGTTCAAAATGGATATCTCAGCCCAAAATCACACACAAATATGGAACACTCCTTTTATGTTTATTGCCTCATTTATGCTCTCAGCTGTTACGATTTTTAGTTGGCGGTGTGAGCAGACACGACTGTTACCAGGAGACGGGTTGCCCTAGTCTTGATGAATGTATTGCTGCAGGCGTTGCATAACCTACCACCAATTTTCGATTTTCTTTTGATTTAAGTCTCAAATCCACCGTTTAAAGCATTGCTGCTGTATGGAAGGTACGTTTCATCGCGTAAAATGCGTTTTAACGGCTGGTATTTTTATCCAAATTTTAACATCACACTACCTATTTCAACGCAGCTTTATGTCACATCCACAAGTTGCTACTGCTAGTCTGTTATGACATCCACAAGTTGCTAACTGCTATTTGAAAAGGATTGAGGCCGAAGGCAAACTGCTTCAGTGAGAAAAATAAGAATGCCTGGCGGAACAACAGCGACGACGAGCTGGTTTTACTCGTGCCGAAGGAAATGGATGTGATAGAAAAGTGCCTTGTATATGTGTACTTCATTGTAAATTTTTGTTTTTGCGCGCCGAAGGTGCTCAAAAACGCTCGTTAAATGAATGCCTACAGCATTATGTTTGACATATTTATATCGTTTGGGCTAGTTGTTCCTCTGAGTATAATAAAGTCATAACAGACTAGCGAAACATGTAAGTCTGACCTCAACTGCGTAAGTCTGTTTAAGCGTAACTGAATGGTGAGTAATGGTTTATAAGCGTGATATAAGTTTGACCATTTTTAAGTACGCAACCTTACACTTTCTTCTGCCCACAGCAATGCGCCCATTTCTCCCTTTCATTCTAATGGTTGGTATGTGTTTAGATGTTGGGCCGCCACAAGTAAAAGCAATATATTGAAAACAAAATTGTGGAGTCCCGTAACTAACTACAAAATATTGGGAGCGAATTCATCATATGAATTAATTTGGCCGTGGCTTGAATGGCACCCGTGTTTTTGCTATTGTTCAGATGTGATAGCATACGCATTGAAAAAAGATATTCCAAATAATTTGAAAGTTTCAGGTGGCAAGCATTCAGCTGACAACAATTTGAAAGTCAGAGCTGGCGTCATCCCCATGACGTCATATCGTGTCATTAAGACATGATCTCTAGACTTCAAGTGGCGGAGTCAAGAATAGTACGCAAGGCTTAAAAATGAAGGCAATCGGGTAACAGCGATGAAATGGATTCACCGTGGCTGGATTTGAACCGGGTTTTGGTAATATCACTTAACTCTTGCTTGTACTACCCCTCCTGCCTTGTTCCGTCATCTTGAAGAGGAAATCCATTTCATTTTGTCTGTCACAGGCGCGCCCGAACAAGCTATCGAGCTTGTTTAGTTCTTGCCGTATGCCGCAGTCCTCGCCAGTGACCGTCGCAGCACGAGGCAACGCGTGACTTTCTTATAAATTTGATCCGAACCCTTTGAATGGATGGGTTTCTGGGATCAGCGCTCACGCTAAGCAGTGCTTGTTGTGTGAGCCCTGGCCCCCACCATCCGATCGCGCAATTCCAAGCAACGGCAGACTTTGGTGGCGAAAGCTTAACGTGCCGCAATGCTCGGCACAGTCCGTCCTGCCTTCTGACGTCAACTGACCTTTAGCGCGACCGCCGCCACCAGCCGCAGGCCATACCTGCCAAGAGCAAATAGTGAGCGCGTTAGACTCGAAACCCCCCGCCACGGGTGGGCGGATCGGAATGCAGGCGCTCTAACCAACTGAGCCACCGGGGCGGACAAACAGCGCGGGGCGGACACTGGCTACAAGCAAGGCTGTTTCAGGGATTTTCAGGGATGTTTCAGGAAGTATCAACATCGCTCAGGTGACGGTGCGCCCGCTCACCTCTGTTGGAAAAGGGGCGTTTGTCCCCAACATCAGACAGGCACAATAGCCTTATCGGGATGCAAGTGAAGCAAATCCCGTTGCGTCGTATGTTTAAGCTGCATAATATATGCACCGTTCTTGTTTCTGTTCCTTCTGCACAACATTGAGCTCCTATGATTTCAATGAACATACCTATTATCGGAGTCCAAACGCCACAGGACGGGAGGCAACTCGGCATTGGGGAAGGACAGCTCGACAATATGGTGGATATATGACCCCAGCAAAGACGCGCAATGTTCCACCTCTGCCGACAAATGTGAAAAGCGTGGTAATGGTCCTGGGGAACCAGACTGACGACCGCGGGCTTCGTTGTTCGCGGTGCGAGGAGTTTGGGAAGATTTACACATAGTGTAGGAAGATTTACACATATGGCAAGATGTACACATATGGGAAGATTAACACATATGGGAAGATTTGCACATATGGGAAGATTTACACATGGTGTGGTCGGCCCGCTGGCTGCGCGACATTGTAGCAGTCGTGTCAGATACGTCTAGCTTTCTGTGTGGCATTTTGTGCTCGTGCTGGCCTCTTCAGAACACGCATGTAAGCAGTCGACAATTTGGGGCCTCTGAGTTTGTGGGGACACTCCCCCACGCTCTCAAGGCTGCTTGGAACGCGTGCACCGTTTTGCAACGTACTTTTCACGGCTGTACAATCCCCAGAATCCGCAAAAACCTCCAGACGTTCTCATATATATATATATATATATATATATATATATATATATATATATATATATATATATAATCCCTAGAATATTCAGAAGTCTGTAGGACAAGAAATGCGTCAGACATGTAAACCTCCTGGAAAATCAGGGAGCTAGAATCGCTTTTGAACTAGGGTGGGAGTAAAACATTCCATCGCAAAAAGACCGTGCAGGAGTGAAAAAATCCATTCACAAAAGACGGAACTTATGAGCTCGTGACGGATCCTTCAGCAAACAAAGACATCCATTTCAAGTTGGCATGGACGTAGTATCAGAAACCTGACAAAACCATTTGGTTTTTTGACATCTTAGGCCATTAAAGTGAAACAGAATACATTAACACGCGCTCGGGTGAGGGGGGGGGGCAAATTGACCCCCCAGGACTTTTCCCGAATGTTTTTTGCACGGCGCGGCGTAGCTGGGCCAAATTTTGCATAGCTGTGAAAATTGCATAGCGGATCGTTTGACATACCAATTTCAGATGTATCATGTAATGTCGCTGACCTATGGCGGGTCAAAGTCAGCACATGGTTTCAGCGAAGGCATTTTCTAGGGGATCGTCAATCTGATACAACAACGGAGTGTTTGACGAAGACACAACTCTGAGATGCTTTCTTAGGCACCACAAATATTGAATGAGCAAATTACGTTGACCTAAGGTCAGGTATGATGGTCAGACCAAGTTCAAAACCAACCTGATATATTACTGTAGGGCTTGCTGTATATGGGATAGTTTCTGG